CCTGGGCTCAAGCGAGTCTCCTGCCTCCGCCTCCCAAGTAGCTGGGACTACAGGCACCCACCACAACGCCTGGCCATTTTTTGGTTGCAGTCATCATTGTTGTTTGGCGGGCCCGGGCTGGGGATTCGAATCCACCACCTTAGGTGTATGTGGCTAGCGCCTTAGCTGCTTGAGCCACAGGCGCTGAGCCCAGAAGTTGACTTCTAACTGGTCTTCTTGCTTGTCTCTTCTTGCTCCCTTTTCAGCCTTCTCAGCTTCATAGGCAGAGAGATCCTTTTGACGCATAAGTTAGGTCAATTTATTCCTCTTCTGAAAATTATCCAATCATTTTCACTTCTGACTTTATATAAAGCCAAGTCTTTACAGTGGCCCATAAGTGGTTCATGTACTCTTACCAGTTGTCCTCTCCTTGTTCTGACTAATTGGTGTTCCTGCTCTAGTAGGCCCTCAGGAGTCTGACACCCCTTTAGATTGCTGTGGCTGGCTTACTTTACTTCAGCCACAATGGCTTCCTCAAACATACCAGCATGTTCCCACCTTTGTACTTGCTATTCCCTCTGCTTGGATGTAGTTTCCCCCCAAATCTGCATGGTCTTGATTAGTTACCTTTCTGGTGAAGCCTTATCTTGACCACTGTATTTAAAATGACCTCCCACCTCTGGTCCCCAATTCTCCTTATTCCTATTCTAAACTTTCCTTTTCTCCATAGCATTTATCTCCAGCTCACATGTCATCTATTTTCTAACTTCTTATGAAAGTATTCAAACATACTGGAAAATTGAAAGACTAAGACAATAAACAGCTTTGTATCTACCACATAGATCCAACAATTGCTAATATTTTGCTGTTTCTGCTTTTTATTTATTTATTTTGAGACAGAGCCTCAAGCTATCACCCTGGGTAGAGTGTCGTGACATCACAGCTCACAGCAACCTCAAACTCCTGGGCTTAAGCAATTCTCTTGCCTCAGCCTCCCAAGTAGCTGGGACTATAGGCACCTGCCATAAGGCCTGGCTATTTTTGGTTGTAGTTGTCATTGTTTGGCAGACCCAGGCCAGATTCGAACCTGCCAGCTCTGGTATATGTGGCTGGCGCCTTAGCCACTTGAGCTACAGGCACCTCCCCTTTTTATTTATTTTTGATTGATCTATTTGGAAATAAGTTGTACAGATGATGTCATTTCACCCCTAAATTGTTTCTCATGCATCTCCTACAAATAGTGACATAGTCATAATGTAGCATAATATCATAGTCACACTTAACACAATAAAAATTAATTCCCTGGTGTTATCTGATATCTAGGCTATATTCCAAATTTTCCTATTTAGCCCCAAATGTTGCTTAGAGTTGGGATTTTTTTTGTTTTTGTTTTTGTGTATTTTTGTTTGTTTTTTGACTAAGGATTGGCCAAAGCTCATATGATTCATATGACTCTGGTTTCTCTCTGTCTTTGTCTCTTATTTTTATTTTTTTCAGATAGAATCTTACTCTGTTGCTCAGGCTAGAGCGCCATAGTGTTAGCCTAGCTCACAGCAACCTCAAACTTCTGGGCTCAAGGGATCTTCCATCCTTGGCCTCCCAAGGGCGCCCCTCCACCCCTGGCCAACACTCAGCTAATTATTTCTATTTTTACTAGAGAAGGTCTCACTCTTGCTTAGGCTTATCTCCAACTCCTAAGCTCAAGGGATCCTCCTGGCTTGGCCTCTCAGAATGTAGGATTACTGGTGTGAGCCACCACACCCAGCCTCTTTAGTTTGTCTTAGTCCGGAAGCATCCCCCGTTTTTATCTTGTCATTAATATTTTTTAGAGATGGGAGTTTCCGTCTGTCACCCAGGCTGGAGTGCAATGGCATCATAGCTCATTGCAGCCTCAAACTCTTGAGTTCAAGTGATCCTCCTGCCTCCATCTCCCAATAGCGAGGACTACAGGCATGCACCATCAAGCCTGGCTTTGTTTTTCTTAATTTTTATAGAAATGAGTCTTGCTATGTTACCTAAGGTAATGTCATTAACTTTAAAATTAAGAGACTAAGCCAGTCATTTTGTAAACTGTCCTATATTCTAGATTTGTCTGAATGTTTCTTTGTGATATCATTTAACTTGTTCCTTGACCCCTTGTATTTCTTACAGACTGGAAGTTAAAGTCTTTACTTAAATTTAGGTTAAATGTTTTTGGTTAAAATATTTCCTGGGTGGGGCAGTGCCTGTGGCTCAAAGGAGTGGGGTGCTGGCTCCATATACAGGAGGTGGTGGTTCAGTCCTGGCCCTGGCCAAAAACTGCAAAAAAAAAAAAAAAAAAAATTTCCTGGGTGATGTTATGAATTTCGTATTGTGTCATATCAGGAAATGAGTAAGTTTCAAGTTGTCTTTTTTTTTTTGAGACAGAGTTTCACTATGTTCCCCTTGGAGAGTGCTGTGGCATCACAGCTCATAGCAACCTCCAGCTCTTGGGCTTAAGCAATTCTCCTGCCTCAGCCTACCAAGTAGCTGGGACTACAGATGCCCACCATAACACTTGGCTTTTTTGTTGTTGTTGTTGCAGTTGTCATTGTTGTTTCAGCTGGCTAGGGCCAGGTTTGAACCCGCTACCCTCAGTATATGGGGCCAGTGGCCCTATCCACTGAGCCATAGGCACCATCCCAAGTTGTCTTATTGTGAGTCTGTTTGACTGGTGGTGACTGGTATACAAAGATGTTTTTCTTTTTCCAGTTACCAAGTAATCTGTTGGATAATTCTGTGGAACATTTTATATGTCTTACATCTTTGTGTTGTTTATTCTGTCTCCTTGCCAAGGTGTAGAGGAGCTGGGATTAGAACTTATCCTATTTGACTCTGTAGCCAATACCTCACCTTTGTCTCAGGATCTGTCTCTCCCTTTCCTGGCATATATGTATACTTGTCTTTTGATCTATTAGTTTGTAAGCTTATTAGAGGCATTAGATAAGTTATCTTATCTATTTTTATATCCAGGTAGTGTTTAGATTCACAGTAGCTGCAAAGCAAGTATTTGTCCCAGATTAGAAGGAAGCATTAGAACCTATCACCTTCACTTACCTCCAGGAAACTCAAACTCTAGAGGTTCTAGCCATTAAGTATTAGAGTTAGAGAAAATCTTAATGGGGAATATATGGTGAACTACCACCCTTCTGACAGGCCCTTTATTTATTTTTTTTTTT